AAAATGGATTATTATACTGTGGAGAGATCTCTAGCAGACACCAAGGAATAATGAAACTGGGGAGCCAAGACCTTATCCCTGGAGGCGTAGGCACTTAGATTGCAGAAGACACCCGAGGCCATTTGTTTGAGCCAAATGACGCTCTTTTGGACAGCTATCCAATCGTTGCTTATATAATTCCAGCCAAGGATGAAAAATTCCGTAGATCATCACTGTCCGCTGTAATTGTTAGGATGATTTTTCTTAAATCAAGGTGAAATTTCCTGCCTGGCATTCTTTTCCAGTGATCTCACTCTACCCCACGCTTCCACCAGATGTTTGCCTTTCTTCACGGGTCCTCAGCCTAGGAGGGTCCAGGTATGATGCCTCCTCGAGATTTCTCCAATGCACACTGACCGCCCCCAGGTCCTTCATCACCTCCTCACGAGGACTCCTTCCTAACTGCCCACCACTCTTCCTTTGGCCACACCGCATTTGTCACCGTCTCGCCTCGACTTTAGTGCCAGCATCACATGGCATCATGGTCAGTGTCAGGGGACGATGACATCCTCCAGCCTCATCACCTCCACCTGTTCCACCTTCCCCACTGTCATTCTTTGAATCAACCCTTGCTTGTCTTTCAACACCGGGGGAACCTTGGAGAGATTCATAGGTGTTCTTAGGAGTGAAGGTGGCCCAGAAGAACATACATCCATTTCTCCAGAGGGAGGCTGGGCTGTGTGAACAGGGACACCCCCAGTCCTGTGCTCAGGAGAACAGTTCTTTTTTAAATTTTTGTTTATTTTTAATTGCGCTGGGTCTTCGTTGTCGTGCGAGGGCGTCTCATTGCACGGCTTCTGCCGTTGCAGAGCGTGGACTCTAAGCACGTGGGCCACAGCTGTGTCGTACGGGCTTAGTTGCTCTGCGGCATGTGGGATCTTCCCTGGACCAGGGATTGAACCCATCCAGGGTTCAATCTGTCTCCCGGACTGGCAGACAGATTCCTAACCACTCTACTACCAGGGAAGTCCTGACCACAGTTCTTTCTGTGCTAAGACATTAAGAGGCTTCCCTCCACAGCCCCAGGCAAGAAGACACTGTGTGGGACATGAACACTAAACAAAATAGCTCTTAATAATAAATAGACAAATGAGCATGTGTTTGCTGTGACTTTCGCCATTCCCTGTGAAATGCAAAACATTCTTGGTGTCAGAATGTGGTACCCGAGGAGCTTCGGGGCCCTGTTGAATGTTGTCGCACGTTATCCGGGTTCTTCGTCAGGAGTGGTCACCTTACAGCCTCCCTGGAACAGTATTTAGTTTCCTATTTGGCAACAAGCTTCGTTCTCATCAGTCCCTCCGTTAGTCACTCACCCCCCAGCTGGTGGCCTGTCCTCTGATCAGATGTGAGCATCCGATAGCACCCAGGTAGCATCCAGGTAGCAGAAGACCCCAGAAACCCAGGCTCAGACCTGAGGTCCCAGCTCCCACTGTGGTCTCCGGTCCCCGCTGCCTCCCAATATGGGTTTCTGTGCCTCAACCCTCCTTAACTTCCAACAGCTGAAGAAGAATAAAAGGTACATAGACAACCACAGAAAACAGTAGTTTATTAACCTGGACCGATCCAGAAAGGGCTATAAAATGAACACCCTAGCCTATGGAGGGTCATAAATAACAAAGATAATTTTCCCATGTTTTATGCAAGTATAATTTTTGGTGGTAAACAGTAAGATGATATATATGTGTACTTCCTATCCCAAACTGTACACAATTAGCATTTAGAAGATTGTAATTATAGCTTGGTTGGGCTTTTGGTAGGTGCTAAAATTGATTTCTTGGCTGAATTATTTTGCAATAGACTTAAACCACTAATTGTACACCTAAACGAAATTGAGTGTGAACAAATCGAATAACTTTTATTTTACCTTGGATAATAATTTATTGATGCAAATAAAACTCTTTAATTAAATCTGGCATAGCCAGGCCTGTGGAGGCCCAGTAAAGGCGTTCTGTCACCCAGCTTTAGTGGTGATTTTAATTTTAGAATAATGCTCTGCTATTCTTAGAGAGGATTGTGTATCTATTAAGGACTGCGGAGGTAGTGAGTTGTTTGAAATCAGTGCCTCTTTGAATTTCAGATGGATTTAGGACAGATCTTTCTGGGAGAAGTGCTGATTTATAAATTAGAATTAAATATAGCCAAAACTGAAACTTAGGTTACTATTCCTGAAAATAGCCTCTTATTTCAGAAGTTTTCAAAGTCTCTCAAAAAAGAGAAGAAATGGGTCAATTGTGGAGACACACTTTTATTCTGATCAATACATGCTACAGACTTGATCAAAGAGAAACCATTAATACAAGTGCATTAGTTTCCTAAGGCTGCCATAACAAAGGACTGCGTTCCAGATGGCTTTAAAAAAGAAATGTATTATCCCACAGTTCTGGAGCCTAGAAATTCAAAATCAAGGTACGAGCAGGTGCCTCCTCTAGCTTCCTGTGGCTGTTGCGTCCCTTGGCGTCCCTGGGCTTGGAACGGGATGACTTCCATCTCTGCCTCCATCGTCGGACGGCTCCTCCTTGTGTGTCTCTGTCTCCACGTGGGACAGAACGGCAGCAGTCATCCTGGAGTACGACGTGGTCCTCCCACTACACTGCTGTGTGACTCCGTCTTCACTAACTACCTGTGTCCAGATAAAGTCACACTCCCACGTACTAGGGGTTCAGACTCCAACACAGATTTTTTTGGAGGGGGACATAATTTAACCTTTAATAATAAGAAAAAATTATCATTGCTCAGTTCTATATATCTACTCGGGGAGGCAAACAGAAATTTAATGAACAACTCACCACAAATAAGAATTGCTTGATATGTATATTCTTAGCCTCTTTTAATTCCCATTAATCACAACCCGATTGAATATAAAAACTGTTAACTCTAATACCCTGAAGGATGTAAAAGGACATGAGGAAATTAAGGCAACTTCTTCCTGTTTCCCCTGAGAGTAGAAGAATGAGGATTCACCCGCAGTAGGAGAGACTTAAAGCAATATCCACTGTGTCAAAATGGTAGGGCATCATGGTAACTGGGAAGCTGCCCCAGTCCCCTTCTCTGGGGGGAGTTGGTAACATGGACGGTTTTTCCCTGCCAGAGATGGGTGGACTGGAGACATTTTTGGAAGAAAGAGGTGGATTGGCTCAGGTTTTCAAACTGTTTCCCAGAGTCATGAAGTTGCACAAGGCACATATGTGGGGTTCGTCCATGCCAACCCCTTGGCTCTGTAGATGAGAAAGGAACTCACTCTGTCCTGTGATTCTCCAGACATCGAGTATATTTGAGTTCATCAGGCTATTAGAGAGGAAACAAAGGCTGTTTCCTCTCTAATCTTTGGCTTGTAACTAATCTCTGACCCACTGGTGGTGTCTTGATACTGTCTTTTGCGATCCAGAGAGCCAGCTTCTCCTGTGTGGTGGCAGTGATGTTTTCCTTATAGGCGTGTGTGTGTGCGTGTGTGTGTGCATGTGTGTGTGTGCACGTGCGTGCATGTGTGCACAGACATTGTGAGCATATGTTCTCACAGCACAGGGCCTTCTGGAAGGGTCTCCCCTCAGCATTGTCCTTAGGGCCGCCCCTGACAGAGCCGCAGTGTTGACAGCAGTCCTCTGCCAGCCAGCACCATGGTGGGAACCGATCCACCCACGAAGCAGGAGCAAGTTGTATTTCCCCGCCTCCTCCAGTGAGTTGTAGCAGCCCTCCCCCGCCGCCCCCACAGTTATAAAGCTGAGAGAAGTGTCAGGACAACGCAGGGAGGTGACGTGGAGCCCTGGGACCCCTTGTGTCCTCTGGATTGCTCGGGACTTATCCTAAATGTACTGTTTCTATCAGATGCCTGACCGACTTGGTGGATGTGATGATGTCCTGCTCGTGATGAGCAGTTCTGGTCATATAATCACTTGATGTTCCATTTTCAGCTTGACTTCTATTATCTATCATCACTTCAGGAGCTGGTTTTTATTTAAAATTTTTTTTCAAGTTCTTCCTAGTTTCTTTTAATTTTTTAAAAATTCAAAATCTATCTCCATTATTATTTTTTTAAAGTCTTAATTTTTAAAATTAATTAATTATTATTTTGTTGTTACTGCACCACACAGTATGCAGAATCTGAGTTCCCCGACCAGAAACTGAAATGTGCACACACACCCACACCCACTCCCTCACCCCTCACTCCCCAGCCCCCACCTTCCCACTCCGCCCCCGCCTTGGGAGCATGGAGTTTTAACCACTGAACTGCCAGATAAGTCCAGGAGCTGTTCTGTTTTTTTTTTTTTTTTTTAACTTACACTCAGTAAGTTTAATGACAACACTCAATTCAGTGGAGTACAAAATAGAATAACACACCTTTGGGTAACTGACAAGTCCTTCATTCTATGTTGTCCTTTTAGGGTTTTATTTTTATACCAATACTGTGATGTGCTTAAGATACAGATCAGTAAATAAAAGTATTAAAGATACCAGTACAGACAATACATTCAATAAATTAAAGCAAAGACCAAAGCTCTGGAACAAGACGAGTCTTAGCCAAAGCTGTTTGGGTATACCCAGGGAACTACTTTTTGAGCCTTATCCCAGGTCTCTGGTCTCAGCAACCATATTTAATACGCACATCAGCCAAGAAAGGCCAGCAAAAGGTTTGTTTTAAAAGGTGAGCAAATGTAGACTTATTTTGTAATACACAAAGTGTTAATTTCAGTAGATCCATTAAAACAGAGAAAATCTGAGAAAGATCATCAATCAAATACAATCAAGCCAAATTAATGTTGGACATCAGTTTTACAGCACTCCTTTAAAATCTATATTAAGCTCAAATTTTTGAGTAGTTTCTTAAACTTTATAGGAAACTCTCTACAATCTCAAATGCTTATTAACATAAAGCATACATGAAATACCTTTATAATAGAAACAGTCGTTCAAATGTTACTAAGGTACTATCTATGGTCCTAAAATAGGCCACTTCCATCTAATAATTATGGATCATCATAACAGCTACATAAATGTATCCTGATAAACAGAGCCGCTGGAGCCATACTCGAGGCTCCAGTAGTCATGCATTTGACGTGACCACGGGACATCATTTCTGAGGCCTCCACAGTGTGGGCGGCCGAAGGACAACTTTTAGGATCTTCATCAGTGCACGCGGAGAAGAGCTCAGTTACCCTCTGGTACGTTTCATCCAGTTCTTCCACATCAATAGGCGGCCTTGTTCCCAAAGCTGCATGGTATGCGTCGTCATCAAAGTCACCTTCATCAAAAGTTTTATCATCGTCGTCATCATCTGGAAGATTGGTGTGTGGGATAGGTAAAGTCAGCACTTCCCACCGAGTAAGGCCAAAGGCAACTATGTCTGCCTTGTTGGTAATAGTACCATCCTCATCCAGAGCTTCCTTAGGTCTCCAAGGCTCAGTGCCAATGGAACAGGTCTCAGGGGAAGTCACAGTCAAATTTTCATCCAATGGTAGAGAGACTCCTACATCACAGGTTTTAATTGTTTCGAAGTCACCTTTAATAACAACATTTGAAGACTTTATATCTCCACGGAGCAGTTTCTTATCTTTGTGTAGATGCTTTAACCCTCTTGCCATGTTCAAAGCAACTTTTAAAATTATGGCTGCTGGAAAAGGATCTTGGCTGTCTTTATTTCGTTCTTCTATTAAGTTTGGAGAAGGAGATGGCGGCCCACTCCAGTATTCTTGCCTGGAAAATCCCATGGATGGCAGAGCCTGGTGGACTGCCGTCCATGGGGTCGCAAAGAGTCGGACACGACTGTTCAATTTCAATTTCTATTAAGTCATTCAGAGACTTTTCACCTCCATATTCCATAGCAAGACACAGACAACCATCGCCAGCTTCAGTGAAAGCTATAATGTTTGGATGATTGAGGCTTTTCAAATACTTAGCTTCATCAGTTAGTCTCTTTAGATACATACTCTGATAAACATCATTACATCTAGGATTAATCTTTTTCACAGCCCAAGGAGAATGAGACAAACCTCTTGGAGATCTTTTCATAAGGTAGACATTTATTCCAGTACCAAAGCCAAGCTTTTGCATAAATGGAGAGGCAGGAATATTTATGCATGGAGTTAAACATAATGCAGATTTCCTTTTTTCAGATCATCTGCTTGCTGTCTTGAAATTATTGGTTTCTTCCATTGTAGTAATCACTCAAGATCTGGAGCCATGAGGTGAGATGATGAGATGTCCAGGGAAAGGCTGTTTTGAAAACTGGTCCTGAGTGGCCCCGAACACTCCACAGCTGCCTGGGGCTCCCACCTGCCAACACACGGACTCAGCTGCTGCCGTGAATACGCCGGGCTTTTCCCAGGAACTGGTTTTTAAATAGGAGTGTCTTTACAGTAAATTGTCCCTGAAATGGAATGGCCATGACCTCGGTCTAGAACCCTCAATATTCTATACTGCCGATCTCCTACTGGGGCTTGTCTAAGATCCCTGACATCATCTTATTCTGCTCTGGATACGTTTAGCGCTGATGGATCTGATAAGTTATGTGGCCTCAATAGCAGGGTAGGCTGCACTGAAACCTTGGATTTCTGGAGAGCCCCTCATACTGTGGGCCTCACTCAAGCCCAGCACTCAAGACATAGTATCAAGTGCAGTATAGGCTGCCCCCCAAATCCAAAGTGTCCCCAAGCCATGGGCCATTTTATACGGGGTAATCATTTAGCTTAGAGGGCATCCCTGTAAGAGGCACCGACCTCTTAGAGCTTCATCAGTATGGCAGGACTTGGGAAGCTTCAAGAATTGTTATGTTCTGACACACGTGTTTTACTCTAGCCTCCAAAACCCTGCCCACTTCCTGTTTGCCCTTCCAGTTAGCATGATGCCAGAAGCACGGTAGACCGGCATGGTGTTCTGGGGACTGCCAAGACGACAGAGAGCAGGAGAATGAGTGTGCCCTCGGGGTAAAGCAGTGAACCTGCACTTCTGTCCTTTTGATGTAATGCTGCTGCTTTCGGCTGTCTCTCCTAAGAAGGTTTTAAAAGAACTCACTGCAAGATGGATAGGCACAACCCAAGTACCCAAGGCTGTGTTGATCTGTTCTGGTTTAGATTAGATCCCAGCTCTACTTCAGCAGCTACAGTTGGGACTACTCACTGGGTAAGTTTCTGGTAGTCTACCATCATTCATGAAATTCCAGGGCTTCCCTGGGGGCTCAGTGATAAAGCGCTAGCCCACCTGCTCGGACTTCCCTGGTAGTCCAGTGGGTAAGACTCTGAGCTCTTGATGCAGGGGTCTTGGGTTTGATTCCTGGTCGGGGAACTAGATCCCACATGCCACAACTAAGACCTGGCAAAGCCTAGACAAATAATTAAATAAAATATGAAAAATAAATGCAGGAACCACTAGAGACTTAGGTTTGATCCCTCGGTCAGGAAGATCGCCTGGAGAAGGAAATGGCAACCCAGTATTTCCAGTATTCCTGCCACGGAATTCCCATACATGGGCAGAGGAGACTGGCAGGCTATAGTCCATGGGGTTGCAAAGAATCAGACACATCTTAACAACTGAGTATGCCTTCATGAAAATCCATCTGATTTTTGCAGAAACCATAACAGATGAATTGAATGGGGGTAAGCCGGCAACTTTCACCCCTGTGTTCATTAGATTCCCGAGGGTAGCACCAATCTCAGCCATTCCGTAGAGATTTGCTATCTTATCTGAGGGTGGGGGTCACCTTCTGGAGTTTCCACTTGTTCTTCCTGTCTTCTTGGTTGGGTTTCTGCCAGCTGCTCAGTCTATACACTCCAGGCGGCATCCTGGGACAGAGGAAGTGACCACAGGGTTCTCAGACCCTCAGAGTCATGGGGAGATGAGCCTGGTATGCTCTGCTATTTTTCTCTTGAGCTATTTGCCAATTTATTTGCAGCAGAAAAGCTGTGAAGATAAGCAGGAAGTGGCTTCTCTGAGGCTGAGAAGCTCAACAGAAATTTCAGCAGTCTGATAGTACTGGGAAGACAGAACTTTGGATTCAGGGTCCTTGAAGGATCCTCAAAGGACCCCCCCTTCCGGCTGGCAGGTGGAACCCCAGCAGTAAGGGCGAGTGAGAAATGAACCAGCCTCTGAGGTTGAAACCATGTTCTGGATCAGCTCAATCACAGATTAGATTAAAGGGCTCTGTTCCCATTCTGTTTGCCAGAAGCACAAATAAATCCTTTCAGGAAAAAAGGATTCACAGCCTTTACAAGTTTCCATGCATAATACTGGTATCCAGCCCAAAGAGCAAAAATAGACGATAGAAAAAGACCTGCTATAGCAGATGTGCAAGTGCATCAGATGTGAATTTTAAATAACAGGGATTAGTAATAAAGAAAAATGAGTACAATGGTGAAAATAGATTGGCTAGAAATCTGATGAAATGAACCAGCTATTGCTATACACTGAAATGTCACTGGAAAAAAAAAAAAAGCCAGACATCAAAGTGTCATATAATTCCTCTATAGTCATATAAATTAAAAAAAAAAACTGGGGACTTCCTTGGCAGTCCAGTGGTTAAGACTTCACCTTCCAGTTTGATAGGGAAGCTAAGATCCCACATGCCTCATGGCCAAAAAGCCAAACACAAAAGAAAAGCAATATTGTAACAAATTCAATAACAACTTTAAAAATGGTCCACATTAACCTCCCAACAACCCCCCCAAAAAAACCCCGAATTAATCTACACTGTTCAAGGCTACTTACCTTTGGAGGAGAAGAGATTGGGGACTAGGAGGAGACACAGTGAGGGCTCTGAGATTCCTATTTGGGTGGTAAGTGTGTTTTTTTTGCGAATATTTATCAAAGTGTACATGAAGAACTTATACACTTTTCAATAAAAGTTAACCAAAAAGAGAGACAGAGAAGTAGCCGTGTGGCTTCAGGCTTGAAGGTACAAATAATTGGTATGTTAGAGAGAGAGTTCGGAGGGCCCTTTCCACTTCAATTGCTCCCGGTCTATTCTGAGCCACCATCGACTCTTGTCTGGGTTCACGTGGAGCCTCTGACCTGACCTTCCTGCCCCAACCTCTGTCCCCTGGTGTCTGCTTTCAACACAGACACAGAGGATCCTTTTGAGACAAAAGTTTGTTGTGTCACAGCTCTTCTCAAACCCTGCAGTGGGCTCCTACCTGCCCCTGGCAAGAGGCAGAGGTCTTCCCTGGGGCATCCAGCCCTGATCACTTCCGGCCCCATCTCTCACTGCTGGCCCTGGACCACTGGGGCAGCCACCCCAGCCTCCTGCATCCTTGGATGTGCCAGGCCCCACCCTTCAGGCCTTGGTGCTGGCCCCTCCCCTCCTGGCTCCCTCCTGCACATTAAATTGTGGTCCCGGCACTCTTCCAGGAGCTCTTGCCCCCTTTTCTGCTCAACTTAATTTTCCTCTCCATAGTTACCACTTTCTAACATGTTGTACAATGTTCTTTTCTTCTCATACGCCTAACTCATTATCTCTCTTCCCTGCAAGGCGATGGACTTCACAAGGACAGGATGGTTTTTTGTTCACTGGATGTATTTTATGCATAGAACAGCACTCGACACAAAATAGATGCACAATAACTATTTTAAAATATATGTTGATGATGAAGAAGCAATCCAAGGATAAACAGGTAACTCCAAAAGAGGACTGGGGCCAGATATTAGATTTTTGTCTCTAAGCTACTCGTATTTACAAGCTGTAATTAAAATGTGCATGTTTATATCAATAAATCTCTGCATTCTCAATGGTCTGTTTCCTCAGTAAACAATCCTATTCAGTCTTGCATCGTTGCAAGAGTTTTGGCCCTAGATCAAGCTAAGTTAGGGGCTTTCCCAGTGGCTCAACGGTACAGAATCCGCCTGAAATGCAGGAGCCACAGGAGACATGGGTTTGACCCCTGGGTTGGGAAGATCTGGAGGAGGACATGCAAACCACTCCAGTATTCTTGCCTAGAGAATCCCACAGACTGAGGAGCCTGGTAGACTACAGTCCGTGGGATCGCACAGAGTCAGACACAACTGAAGCAACTTCGCAGGCACGCAGAGCTGAGAGTGCATTCTCTGCACCGTTCCCCACTCACAGGACCCCGAGGAACCTGCGGAACCTCTGGGGTCTCAGTTTCCTTGTCGTGTAGGATTAAATGCCGCAACACGTGTAAACCCAGACCCCTCGTGCGTCCAGCAGTGGTCTCTCGAGTACCTGTTGTGTTCCAGGTGCTCTCCTAGACTCGGGGGCACTTGGGTTATTACTCACTACGTATTTATCGAGGTCCACTTGCCCAGTTAGTACAAAACAGGGCAAGCGCCTGCCCCAGAGCTCACACTGTAGTGCGGGAGACCGTGGTGGAGCAAGATACAAGAAGCACACGTTGGGGAAACTAAAGGGAGGTGGGGGCTTCAGGAAAAATCCAGAAGACGGACCAGGGCCAGAGGGATGCACTGGGTGGTGAGGGAGCAATCTTCCCATCACAGAGTCTTTTCTTTTTTAAAATAAAGTTACTTTCCTTTTTGAATTACCTTTTTAATTTTCACGTATTTATTCATTTTCTTTTGGCTGTGCTGGGTCTTCATTGCTGTGCGGGCTTTTCTCTGGTTGTGCAGAGCCGGGGTTACTCTCTAGCTGCAGTGCGTGAGCGTCTCATTGCGGTGGTTTTTCTCTGGTTGCGGGGCACAGGCTCCAGCAGCCTTCAGTATTGCGGCTCCCGGGCTCTGGAGCACAGGCCCGGAGGTCATGGTGCATCGTTGCCCTGTGGCACGTGGGATCTTTCCGACCCAGGGATCCGACCTGCGTCTCCTGCAGCCCCTGCGTTGGCAGGCGGATTCTTTCCCCCTGAGCCACCTGGGAAGCCCCTCATCACGGCAACTTGGGCTTGGGAGTGAGCCTGGCGCCTGCCGCCCTCCAGGGCTCACAGCAGAGCGCCTACCCCAGGACACGTGGGCACAGCGTGGGCTCCAGGGGTGGCCTCTGCTGTGGTTGCAGATGGTGCTTTGCTATGGAGGGAGGAATCTGAACTCGAGGTCTTGTGAGCCTGCAACACGCCTGCCAGGTCAGGGGTCACTGACTCAGCTTACAGTCGGCGGCGCCTACACAGGCCTGGGGAGGTGCCCTGTCCTAGACCAGGGGATCGCCTCCTTCTCTAGTGAAGGCGGTGACAAAGGCTGGGCATTTACAGGATGGGAGAGAATTAGCCTCGTGCCGATGTCTAAATCTGCACAGTTTGAGAACTGGAGTAGACCCAGGTCCAGAGAGGATAAAACGCTCATTTTGTGACTGTCATAGTTACAGACTTTCCAGAAGAGGAGAAAAATCCATTATCTCCTCTAAAGGATGTGATAGGCAGTTTCTGCTAAATATTGCATCAAAGAAGCTTGAACCAATTCTTTGCACTGAGTTGATGGTGCCTTCTACGGCTCCCCTAAGAGAATAAATGATGATGGAGTGAGGAATGTTTACCAAAACCGAAAGTGGGAGCCATTTATTTAGTCATTAGCTGTGAGACTGGCACCGCTAAAATTATTAGCTGAAGAAACTCGTTTCTTAAACACATAAATAACCTCCAGCGCATCATTGAAAGGTTTCTGTTTTCACTCTTCATTTAAAAGGAGAGGGTTAGTTAAATAATCCTAACTCTATTAAGGTTTTATTTTAGACAGATAGGAACATTTCCATAGACGAGGAGACTGGGTGAGCTGACTCCAAGCACCCGAAGTAATAGAGCTTCCTGTGGAGAGGCGGCTTGAGTGTTCTTCAGGGGGTTTCTCCAGAGGAGCTGTCGTCCTTCACGGAATAGCTGTAAAGAGAACGAGCCCTTTGTTTAATCTGGAACTTTCTCTTCTCCTCTGTGCCTGCCTTCGTCTGCCCCTTTTCTTTCTTTAGGATTGAGGTCAGCTTCTGCAATCTCCAGGCAGTGAAATCCCAGCACGTCCTTGCATCCTTCTCGCTCACCTGTGACACCCAGGGTCTGAGCTGCACACGGCATTTCCTCCTCCCCACCTGTGTGTGCTGCCTCTTCTAACAGCATAGGAGACAGACCCTCAACAGTAAGCTGGAGCCGATAGGTGTCCCCAGCCACTCTTTTTTAGATTAATTTTTACTGGCGCACAATCGCTGAGCAGCACTGTATTATTTCCCCCGCACAGCACAGTGAAGCAGCCACACGTGTGCACGAGTCCCCCCCCTCGGACTGCCTTCCCCTTCACGTCCCCGCAGAGCGTTAAATAGAGTTCCCTGCGCTGTACAGGTTCCCGTCACTCATCTATCTTACACACGGTGTCAGTAGTGCCCACGCGTCAGTCCCAGTCCCCCAGTTTCTCCCACCCTCCCCTTTATGCCTGGGCGTCCATAATGCCGGAGAGGATGTGAAGAAAAGGGAACCCTCACGCACTGTCGGTGGGACTGTACATCGATAAAACCAGCGTGGAAAACAGTATGGAATTTCCTTAAAAAACAAAAAATACAACTAGCACATGACCCAACAATCCCGCTGCTGGGCGTATATCCCGAGAAAACCATAATGAAAAAAGATACATGAGCCTCAGTGTTCATAGCAGCACTATTTACAGTAGCCAGGACGTGGAAGCAACCTAAATGTCCATCAACAGAGAAGTGGGTAAAAAAGATGTCACACAAATCATTCTGCGCACTTCCTGTGTGTCAGACACGAATTACCACTAAAACTTTTCCAAGCGTCTGCTTCCTCTGAGTTCACAAGGCATGGGCCCCTTCTCTGCCTGAGATGGTTTCTGGGAAATAAAGCAAAGATTTCTACCTCTGTACTGTCTTCTCTCTTTGAATCTACAACATCTTTAGTAGCTTTAATTACCATCAGGACCACAGAGAGCATCAAGGAGTGACCTGGAGGAGGGTTGGGTAGCAATAGACGCAGGGATAAAATGATGGGGAGGAACTTCAGATTTAAACAATTTGCTTCATTTTTCCTAAAGAGCCATGCCTGTACATATTGGGAAATGTAGAAATTAAAAATAGGCAAAAGGAAAAATAAACATTATCTTAAGCCCTCTCAAGGGGACAGTTCAGTTGACAGCCTTCTCGTATTTGGATCCATACTTAAGTCTTTTCCTTTTACCAAGAGTGGAGTCATTTTGGACCCTCTGATCTACAGCGTGCCTTTTTACTTGGAAATACATCCTGAGTGGTTTCTCACGTCTTCACATTTTCTCCTGCATGTAGTTTGGACTGATCTACTCTTCTTGACTTCGGTCTTTTTAAGCCGGATCCCGCATGGGGGACATTCTGCCGGCTCCACCTCCACAACTGACCCAGAACTCCACCTCTGCTTGCAGCCTGGTCCAGGGCACGCTCATCTCACGTGTGGAATATTGCAACGCTTTCTTGGGGCGCTCCACTCTGAACCTGTTCCTTGAGTCCGTCCGACACTCAGCGCAGAGTGGCCTTTGGAGGACTGGACTTCACGTGGCTCCTCTGCACAGACCTGCAGCGGCCCCTCCCTGCGTGGAGGGGACGGCGAGGTCGTCGCTGAGGCCAGACTCCCCGCGCCCCCGCCCCTTTCCCTCGCGCGCCACCTCCCCGCAGTGGCTCCCTGGCCGTTCCTCGGACATGCTCCAGCCTCAGGAGTGCTGGCAGTGACTGGCGCTTACGTGATTGGCAGGGGCTTCCTTCTAGGACATCCTCTCCCCACCGCCGCCACGTCTGCTCCGCAGAGAGGACATAGGCATGAAGAGCATAAATGGGCGATCCCCTGACGTGACCGCTGGGACATAATCATTTCCTCTCAGGCTTCTTGGGCCCTGCTGCTTCGACCTCTGCCCCCAGCATGCTTCCCACGCAGAGACCCTTGCTCTCTCTGGGAGCTGGGTGGTGAGGAATTGGTCCTCCCACAAAGAAACCTGACCCTTGTCTCTGGCTCCTGGGAGGTCACCTCCCTGCCTGTTCAGAGAGTCTTTGTTGTTCATCACGAGCTCCTGGGACCTCACGTGACCATGTATGCTCACGGCGGCCGAGTGGCTCACGACCCTCGGGCCAAGTGATACCAGCTCTGCAGAGAGGGGAACTGGACTGGGGTTCAACCTCGGGTGCCACTGGTCCGTTGATTTTGCCTTCATAACAGGGGGGCTTCCCAGGCTGGGATACCTGACGCAGACTGTCCCATGCTGATGCTGTTAGTGAGAGGGTGGGAATCCTGAGGACAGCGGAGGATTGCATTTGGGACCCCAACTCCACCTGTGTGTGTCGGTCTGGTTGTAGTCTTTCCCCTATAACAAACTGTAGTCGTGAGGGTAACAGTTTCCAGTGAGTGCTGTGAGTCCTTCCAGTGACCTATTGACAGTAGGGGTTGTTTCGGAAAGTTCCTGACCTTGAAGGTGGTGTCAGAAGCCAGGGAAGCCTTGGGGGCTGTTCATTCAGAGTTGCAGCTTGACTGGCTCCAGGTAAGACCCCATCTGCCTCTGAACCTCCTTTAGACAACAGACAACCCTCCATTACCTTGTGTTAATAATTCAGGTGTTCCACCGTCATCCCAAGAAATAGCCACATGCTCTTATGTTGTTCAGTCACTCAATCGAGTCCCACTGTTTGCGACCCCATGGACTGCAGCACGCCAGGGTTCCCTGTCCTTCTCTGTCTCCCGGAATTTGCTCAAACTTAGGTCCATTGAGCGGATGATGCCATCCAGCCGTCTCATCCCCTGTCACCCCCTTCTCCTGCCCTCTGTCTTTCCCACCATGCTCTTAGAGCTTATTGTAGATATCAAAGGTGTTCCTTGGAGGAAATAACGAGCTCCTTATCTCTCGCTGTGCCTCTACCCGTTGATGCAGTTCCGTAGTATATACCACACATTTATTAGGTACCCGACTCCATGCAGGCAGGTGTGTGACCTGCCTTCTGTGTGGTGTGGAGACGCCCCTTCTGTCCAGCAGAGGCTCTCTCTTCTGCTTTCCATGGGCAAGTTCATTTTTGCTCATCCTCAGACAGAGTATTTACAAAATAAAGGCAAACGCTTCTATTTGTGCTTACTCTGACCTTTCACATGAAACAAATCCTTAACATTGGCAAAGGGCTTGACAAGCATTTAGTATTAATTAATTCTTGCAGGTCTCTGGGGAGCAGGCAAGCATTCTTGGGAACTGACAATATGGATTGTTTCATTAGGCAGGTAAGCCGTTCGCCTCGAGGCTGCGTTTGCCTTGAGGCTCAGGCTGCTCTTGGTGTCAGGAGTTCTCCGGCCCCCGGCAGGCCTGCTGGGGCCTCCTGTCTCCAGGCTCAGAGGCAGGGATGGACAGGCCCTGCCCTGTGCCTTTGTCTCTTTCCTTCCTTTTCACTGACAGCCTCGCACTTGACTTTTCCAGTTCTAGCTTTTTCCCGACTTAGGAAATGAATTAGACTACAATTCCCCCAAATTTACATGTGATGATCAAAAGAAGGTCTCACAGGGGTCTGTGGTTGACATCGTGTAAACTTTGCTCGGGCTAAATATCTGTCCTTTGAAATCTTCTACAGTTTCCCAGGTGATTGTTTGATTATTTTTAAAATTTGCACCATGACTTTTGCACGGAAGGCTGTGTGGGCTTTCTTCTCTCCCATCCTTCCTGCTCCTCCCCTGCAGGCCCACGTCTCTCTGTCCAGACATAGCCTGGAGGCACTGATGGAGCAAGGGGAGCGTCCTTTGCCAGACCCTAGGTCGTCCAAATTTTCCCTGGGTCAGAAAGATCTCTTGGAGGAGGTCATGGCAACCCATTCCAGTATCCTTGCCTGGAGAATCCCATGGACAGAGGAGCCTGGTGGGCTACAGTCCATGGGGTCATAAAGAGTTGGACACGACTGAAGTGACTTAGAGCTGAAAGTGTCAGTAACTGGAACACCCACCCCGACAGCCTTGTCATATGTTGTGTAGCCATCCGTTAGTGTTTTCAGCTAAAGAAACAGCAGACCCCTCTCCCCGTCACCCCCACTTCCCTGCTGTCTGCACGGGCACAGCTGTCCTGCTGTCAGGCAGAGGACTGCTCGTCATCTCTTTCTTCTCTCTACGAGGGCTTCGCACGTCCCTAACACGCCATGTAGTCGGTAGTACTCTGATTCTCCAATAGGCAGTTCTCTTTTAATTTCAGATTGTAGTCCTCCACACTTTTGAATTCAGGTGTGGCTGGGTGGTGAGCTCCAGAGCAGGATGTGAGAGTAAAGATGATGCGTGTCCCTCCTGGGCTAAGGCCCTCCCTCTTCTGCCCTGGAGAAAATGAAGCACCCCCATGGAGACGGCAGTGTTTTGAGATGGGGTAAAGTAACCTTGGAGCAAAGCCCTTCCCACCCCCAACCCATACTGTACATGTAACATGATGGGAAATAGTCTTTCAGTGTTCTCAGCCTCTAAGATTTGCTGGTGTTTGTTATTAGAGCCCAGCCAATGACTGCTCCTGGGCTGAATCTGGCCCTCCACTTGCGTTTATAAATAAAGTTTTATTGTAACACAGCTTCACGCATTCATATACATACATTACACATACATACAGCTGCTTTCATGCTGCAGTGACATTGGGGAAAGAGTTCTGACAAAGGTTGCATGACCCAGGAAGCAGAAAATATCTATTATTTAGTATTTGACCCTTTAGAGAGAAAGTTAGCTGATGCCTGCCTATCGTGATAGACTCAATGAAAGCTTCTTGAATTATTACATTGACAGTATAAAAGGTAGAAGCCCCAAACTGATTCTAAAATAGCATCCGATTATTTTGCATGATGATCAGTGCAGCTTAACTGGCAAGCACTAAAGGAATGCCCTTATGCGTCAGACTTGGGGGCTTTCTCCTTGGGGTGCTCTGGGCTTGGGAGTGGAGGAAGTCTCTCCCTCCTTTGCAAATTTGGGAAGTGAGGACTCAAAGTGAGAAAGAGAAGATAAGAAAATAAAAAACCCAAGGACTCTGTGTGGACTGAGGGATTTCTCACCATGATCTCCATTAAAATACACCCATTCATTCACTCACTTGCTCGTTCATTCACTCATCAAGCTTGTCGTAAGCTGCTGACACTAAGCCCATGACTGAGTAGAAGGTCCATGGCAATCACGAGGCAATCACACTGCAGGGTGACGTTCGCAGAGCAGTGGCACAGCCTGCCAGGCAGGGTCTTCCTGATGTTTACCCCACCCTCGATCTAGCCAACCTGGTAGCTGGTGTAATTCCCTGAGGCTGAAGCCAGGCAAAGTCTAAGAATTGCTGATTCACCTGCCAGAATACTTGGGAATTTTCCTCCCTCTGAAGTAAGGCCTGGAACAACGTCTTCACACCCAGCTTTTCATGCGGGCAATTCCTAGATCATTGCTTGGGCCGGGACCCCACTGCTGAGGCTATTCACGCACAAGAACTTAGCCCAAGTGCTTCTGCCCTAAGCTCTTTTCTCCTGATCCTCCCCTAACGACAGCCTGGAAAGAAGCATCCTGATGATAACAGAACGATTGAAACTTGGGTTTTCTTTTGGAGGGGGACGGTCTGGGGAGGAAGGAAGGAGGTAGGGGAGCCAGGTGGGAGGTAAATGAGAGGAAGATACACAGCAGCTGAAGTGATAGTAAATTGGACAATGTGGTCTGCAGTTTTATGTGAAGTGCGCCTTCCCCACCTTTCTACCTCCCGCGAATTGATTCGGTACCCAGTTCCAGCCATCGTCTTATTTCAAGTTCGGTTACCTAGGAAACAGAGGGCACACCGCTGGGACAGGCTGCCTGTGTCCTGTGCCGACCGAGGCTATTAAAGCCCATCAACTCGGCCTCCGAGACGCACTGAACACAGATGGTTTCAACTTCTAGCCAGGTTCTTATTTATTTATTTTACTGCCTCGGCAGCAAAATGAGTTATCGAACCATTCACTCTATCGACTGGGGCAGTTTTCCCCTGCACCCCTCGGATGCCCGAAGCGCTCCAGAGCTGGTGGCAGCCCAGAGGCCTTTTGTTGACGGCAGGTCCTCACCGGGATAGTTAGGCAGCTTCCAGCCTCTGATCCCCAGGGCAGGGGTCCAAGCGGAGGGGCACACGGACCATCAGGCTTACAGAGCCTTTGAACATGTGAAGAGAGCTACTCATGGGCCTCTCACAGAAAAACACACATGCACACTGAACCTTGCATGCACTTTAAGGAAGGAACTGGATTCCCAGGCTAAACAAGTTTGTTCTGCTTTCATTTGAAAAAAAAAAAGTAAATACCGGTCAGAGGCGTCTGAGATTCAACAATCCGCTGTCCTGGGGACCGTGTGACCCAAAGAAAGAACTGCACTTCGCTGCACCTCCTGGGGGCTCTCACAGTCCCCTCGACCTGCTCTAGAAACAGAGAACTTGACGGACACCATACCACGGTGTCTTCCGCCTGCTGTCTGGTTTTGTGAACTAAGAATGATTTTTACATTTTTAAGTTTAACATGGAATAAAAGACTATTAGTTTTTGGGGGAGACTAGTTGCTTGGAGAATTGAGGACATTGCTTCTTGGCCCCAAAGCCTGAAACATTTACAGCCTGGTCCTTTATGGAGACTGGCACGCTTGGTGAGCGGAGGGGAAGCGATGTCAAGGGCACTGCTTGGCTTCATCCCCTGTGATAGCTCTTAGCCCACAGGCCAAGGG